GATCAGACACAATGGTATGTGGCATCCCATGTAATCTCACGACCTCTTTGAAGAGTTTTGTCGTCCACATTAATAGCATCATCAGATTTATGACATGGAATGAAGTGTGCCATCTTTGAAAATCGATTCGCCACTACAAAGATAGAATATCGACCTCTTCTAGTCCTTGGCAATCGCAGTACAAAATCCATAGATATGTCGACCCTTGGTGCCGATGGAATGGGTAGTGGTGTGTACAGTCCAGCTGACTGCACCTTCGATTTAGCTTGCTTGCACTCCACGCATCTAGAACACAAGCTCTCTACATCGATTTTCATATGAGGCCAGTAGAAATGATGTTGTAAGAAACTCGATGTTTTGGCTACATCAAAGCGTTCCATCAATTCTCCTCCATGAGCTTCTTGCAATAGTAACTCTCGAGTGAAGTACGTGGTATGCAAAGCTGATTACCACAAAACAGATAGCCCTCTTCACAATAGTACTTCCATTCTCCATGCTTCTCACATGGATTGTATATTTCTCTAAAATCATAACCTCCTTATATACCCCTTTGATTTGCTCGAATCTAAGGTACTTTGCATCCATTGTTGTAATCAAACTGTATCTTCTCGATAAGGCATCAACAACCACATTCTCTTTTCCTTGCTTATACTTGATCACGTAGGGAAATGATTCGTTAAACTCCATCCAATGAGCATTCCTCTTGTTCAACTAATGTTAGGCCTTCAAATACTGGAGAGACTCATGATCAGTATGGATACGAATTCCTTTGGACACAAGTAATGTTGCCAAGACTCCAAAGCTCGATCCAATGCATAGAGCTCTTTATCATTGGTCAGATAATTAAGTGTATCTCCACTCAACTTCTCAATGAAATATTCCATTTTCCTCTTCTCTTGCATCTATACAGCGCCAATTCCCAATCCTAATGCATCATACTCTAGTTCAAAGGTCTTGTTAAAATCGGGTAGCATCAAAACATGAGCATGAGTAAGCTTGCACTTGAGTAGCTGGAATGCCCCATTATTCTTGATGATTGATGTTAATGGCACGACAATGATGTTTAAGTTGGAAACAAATCGTCGATAGAAGCTAGCCAACCCATGAAAACTTCTTACTTCACCCATGGTGCTGAAGTTGGGCACTAGGATGACAGGAACATCAAAGGGACTCATGTTCTCTTGAACATGTAATTTCACCATAAGCTCATCAATCTGCCTTTGAAACTCCTTTGTTTCCTCTGGATTCATCCTATAAGCCGCCTTATTTGGGATGGTGGCTCCAGGGGGGAAGTCAATTTGATGTTCAATCCAGCGGGTTGAAGGTAATCCCTTTGAAGCTTTCTCGGGAAAGACATCTTCAAACTCTTCCAATACCACTCGTGCCCTAGGTGGTATATCTCGAATCAACTCTTGGTTGAGTAGCACGCCCTTGTATAAGATGATAAACATGGGTTCTCGATCGTTGATGGCTTGCTTCATGTCTCCACTATGTGCTAGCATCAATGCCTTGGGCTTCAAGTTACCCGAGTTTTCCTTCCTACTCCTCGTGGCCTTAGCTTCCTTCTCTTTTTCTTGATTTTGTTGCATTAAAGTTGGTCTTCATAAACTTCTCTAGGAGATAGGGGCTTTAACACGAACTTTTGACCTTGATGCGACAACGTGTATTTGTTGGTGAAGCCATCATGTGCATTTCGATCGAATTGCCACGGCCTCCCTAGTAAAACATGAGTCACTTGCATATGTACCACATCACACATCACACGTTACCTCATCCTTGTATTTCTCAATTGCAAACTTAAGTAAAGCTTGGTTTGCCTCATTAATTGAGCCATCTTTATTGACAAATTAAAGAGTGTAGGGTTTTGAATGAATCAATGCCTTCAACCCCAACTTCTTCACACAACTCGCACTCACCACGTTTGTGAAACTTTCTCCATCAATCACAACCGCAAGTAGCTTTTCATCTACTACACACCTCTTATGGAAGAGGTTCTCTCTTTGCTCAAGTTCTTCCTTTGGTTGGATGTTCAATAACCTTCAAGCCACACACAAATTGCATGGATGTGCTTCCATCTCTAGAGTCTCATCAATCTCAGAATATGATGTGTCATTCCCTTCATGTGCTTTGTCAAACCGGGGTGCTCAATTAGTACGATATTGTCTTCTTTGGGCCAAGCCCACACGGTTTTACTCTTGGATGTCCTCCCCAAAAGGCCTCGTACTAATTGGGCTAGGTGGACTCTAATATGCAAGGGTTCCTTCCCTTGTATTACCGATGTGGTACTTGGATTGTCCCATAACAATCCTCCCCTCAAGACAAGGACCACGAACTTCGTGTCTTCCCCTTAGCGATTAACTTGATCCGCCAGACACCTTGTATCGTGGGCTTCTCGGTACAAGAATTTTTCCAGACGCAGAACTCTCTTTGATCTGCATCCCAAACACGAAACTCTCTTTGATCCACCAAGCCCAAACGTGGATCTCCCGTGGATCCACCAAACCAGATGCAGATCTCAAATCGTGAGGTCACCGGACGAGGGTCCCACCAAACTTACGTCCACCGCCCTGAACCGAACCCGGCTCTATCATACAACTTGTCAAACTCGGGTCGCTCAATTAGTACGATATTGTCCGCTTTGGGCCAAGCCCGCACGGTTTTACTCTTGGGTGTTCTCCCTAAAAGGCCTCGTACTAATGATCTTGGTGGACACTTATATACAAGGGTTTCTTCCCTTGTATTACCGATGTGGTGCTTGGATTGTCCCATAACAATCCTCCCCTCAAGACAAGGACCACGACCTTCGTGTCCTCACCTCAGCGATTATCTTGATCCGCCAGACACCTTGTATCGATGGGCTTCTCGGAACAAGGATTTTTACAAGACGCGGAACTCTCTTTGATCCGCCAAACAAACGTGGATCACTTTTGGATCCACCAAACAGCCCAGACGCAGATCTCCCTTGATCTGCCAAACATACACAGATCGCAAATCCCGAGGCCACCGAATGAGGGTCCCACCAAACTGGCGTCCACCGCCCTGGATCCGCCGAACCAGGCTCTGATACTACTTGTCAAACCGGGCTGCTCAATAGTACGATATTGTCCGCTTTGGGCCAAGCCCGCACGGTTTTACTCGTGGGTGTTCTCCCCAAAAGGCCTCGTACTAATTGGGCTAGGTGGACTCTAATATACAAGGGTTCCTTCCCTTGTATTACCGATGTGGTACTTGGATTGTCCCATAACTTGCTTATTCTCCATATTCGGACACATATTCTGCATTCTCTAACAGAATCAATGTCCTGTTGTTGGGACATTGGCTTGCAATATGCCCACGCCCATGACACTTACAACATTGAATCACACCAGATGATGCTCTATGTTTGGTGCTAGGGTTTGGAGCTTCAACTTTGGCCTGAGTTTCGGTACTTCTTTTGGAGGGACACTCAACTTAGGGTTTGTGGTAGGAGTTGGAACATGCCTTGTGGTGCTTGTAAAAGGTAAGAACCTTCGACTCTTCTATTGCCTCTCCACTTTACTTGCCATAGCCACCAAATCTTCAAGCACAACGAATGGTTGTATCTCCACAATGCTTCAAATCTCTCGATTAAGCTGAAATAGAAATCGAGCTATGGTAGCCTCCCTAGATTCTCGAACATCAGCTCGAATCATCAACATCTCCCTCTCTCAATAATAATCTTGAAACACTTTTGTTGCCTTGTCAGAGAATTTGCAATGTTTGACGCATCTCACATTGATGATAAGTTGGCACAAATCGATCTCGCATAATGCCTTCATATCATCCCTCATCTCAATAGGTCTGCACATATCTCCTCTCCTTTGTGTGCACAATTGATCCCACCAAACCAATGCACAATTCGTAAATTCGAGAGAGGCTAGAGTTACCTTCATTTTCTCCAAATAATTATGATAATAAAAAATCAGTTCCATCTTGCATTCCCAATCTAGGTAAGTATACGGGTCAATCGTTTCTATAAACGATGGGATGGTCACCTTAATGCCTTGTAAATCATCAACTCTCGTTGATAGGAAACTCCATCATTGTCGAACTCCTCATAACCTTCTTCGTCATTGGATGGTTGAAAGTTCCTTCTTGCAACCCGCTGCTCTCCCAAGGGTTGATGTCGTCGTATATGCTCAATCAAAGCTCATTGTATGGCTGGACCTCCCCTTCCTTCTTCTCGTCGATCCCTAGGGTTAGGGTAGGTGTTCTCGGCATATAGAGGTTGGGGTTGCTTTTGCTCGTGGGATTGAGGTTGTGGCGCTAGTATTCTTGTTTCCCACTCATCTATCCTTGCGGTTTAAGCTTGTACTGCCGCTTGCATTTGAACTTGGTTGTTGGTGTGCGCTTGAAGTAAGGTTTGAATCTGATAAGTAAGTGTCTTCATCTCGTCTCCCATACTTGCAGCACAGAAAACAACTTATCGCCTTAAAATAACAAAAACGCCTCAAGAACTCTCCAAGACGTCCTCGCAAGTTGCAAAGATTCAAGAATCTTCCACTTGGACAAGAACTATCATGAACATGTCAAGATCCTTAAGAACTCGACCAAGAAGCTTCAAGAATACGTCAAGAACTCCAAGATTTTGAAGAGAACCTCAAATTTGGACCAAAACACCAGAATTGCATAACGTCAAACTCTTATGGGGTTTTCTCCTTTCTTGACTATGACCCTAATTTGAAGAGAACCTCGAATCTGGACAAAAACACCAGAATTGCACAACGTCGAACTCTTTTGCAGTTTTTTCCCTTCTTGAGTAACACAAAAAATAAAGATAGATGAAAATCGTTTAAATAATCTCGAACTTGTGGAAAGAGCCAATCGATATAGTCGAACTCACCTCTACTAGATGTGATCTTCTAGTTGATAAGAGACACTCAAACCTCCTGAATCCTCGAAGGAAATTTATGCAAACGTTTACAAAGGTTTGAATGAATCCATTATAATGGTTAAACCCCTTAAAATAGGCTTAAGAACCCAAAAACCAAACTACAAAGGATCATAAAATCCTACTCTAAAAAGGATAAATAAACCTTAACAAGCAAGAAAAGACAAGGTCAAAATCCCCCCTTAATCCATGCGTTCAAATCTGCCCCTTGTGTTCACACCTATGGTTCCTTTCACATCATGGAGAAATCATCTTAAGCCCAATCTTCCTTACCTTCTTCCAAGTCATCTTCTCTTGAATTTGATCCACAAATTGTAGCAATGTAATGGGCTTTCCTTCATGCAACTCCACGTCCATATCCTTCAATTGTGCACTCAAATAACTTCCAATTTACTTTCTTAAAGGTTTAGCCTTTGCACTATTCATTGGGCCTTCCTCTTGAGCAGACTTGGTCTTGATGACCTCATCACATTTTCTATGGTGTTCCTACCCTTTGCTTTCCTTGTGTTCTAGGGAGAAAACTGAACTCATTTTCTGCAACCCTTTCCTCACTATCCTATTTCCGGTCGATTGGTTTCCTGAGATGGGGCCTAGTTTGAAAACTTTTTTCAGTAACTGGTTTTACTTGTCTACAGGTTCTGGATCACATCTATGTGTTTTACCAAGTACGGTATTCAAAACACACATTTTGACAGTGCTTGAAACACTTTAAAATATGAGAACAATAACAGTGGGTGGGGGTGTCTGACATTTGAACATTTCTGTTTTGAACATTTCTGTTGCAGGAGAATGACTGTTGCAGAAATAGAGGTTGCAATTCACAGACTCGGGACACGGTGACCAGCTCGATCTGTCTACTGCAGTAATGAAGCAGCAAATCTTGGTTGCATGAAGTTTAAACGTATAAACTTGTTAGGTGACGATCTGTCTACTGCAGTAATGAAGCAGCAAATCTTGGTTACATGAAGTTTAAACGTATAAACTTGTTAGGGAGTCACCGGAGTTTTGCGATGTTAAAACGTGTTAGCGGGGACAACACTAGTAATAAATAATAATGTGTACGAGGTTTTAATTAGGGCTTAATAAGCTACAAGGCCTCCTATCCTTCATTATCATTTTCCCTCTCTGGTAGCAAGCTGATCCCACATTGCTGGTGGCTGGTTGTATATTATCTTTACCTTCCCTCCATCAGGTCTTCTCTGATTTTCCTCAGCTACCGAACCGTAAGCCAGCTTGTCTTCCTAAAAATGAGTGAAAATGTCAAGAAAATGACAGCTAATTATGCATTTTATTCTGAATTGGGAACCTGACGGTTGTCATAGTGCAGCAGTTAATGGTGCTCAGTCTGATAGGACTTTGCTCGTTCCTTAGTTGTGTACACATCTGATAGGTCTTTGCTCGTTCCTTAGTTGTGTACACATAATGGACAATAGGTTACAGAGACTGGCAAACCTTCCTTAGCTAGAATATACATACTTGCTGCACCAACAAGCCCCCAGTTACATAGTATCGCCATACTTTTATTTGTTAGTGATGATCAATTGACTCTTCGCTTGAAGCACATTGAGCATGGCCAGAGCTGCCGAGTCATAAGCACTCTTTTTATCAGCTCTGGCTTCCCCGTCGCACTCAATGATACCGAACCAAGGTATATTCAACTTGATTTTAGTTGTAAAAGTGTTGAAAGCTGTTCTTTTACCGCCAATATCATCGACTTCCATGGGTGATCTGCCGCGGGAAGGACTGAATCAAGTGAGCGTACATAGAAGAGGGAATTGTACATTTGAAATACAGTGGCAAGTACGAACATGGGATGCTTCGTATGTTGGCGTTCGTTTGCAGAAAAATGAAAAAAGGGAAGATCTAAGAGGAAAACCTGGACTTATGTTCGCTAGTTTTGAATGTAGGCATTGGCCACTGGACTTTCTTGCACAGCTCAAACAGAGTGATCCGAGGTCCTCCTTTCTTCATGTTTATTGATTCGATAACTGTGCAAGTCAAAAAGGGAGCAGAAAGGCAGTTAGATCCAAGAGTGATCCCACCGCCAATTTACATGACAGATGAAAGAATTTTCCCCAAACCATATCAAAACTCCACCAAAAAAAACGCCAATCTAAACCCATCCCACTTGCCACCTCTAATGGGTTTTCAACACAAGCTACACCAATGTCAATTTCATGATACAAGGGCTAGACAACTACAATTCCATTTTTCGTTCCTCACATCACAAGTGCCTACGCTCATAGACTGATTTAATATGGAAGAGAGCTATCAGATAGGATCAAAGCTATCATGGCTTTGAGTATTCAATCCATACAGTAGCATGCATACCTGGGGTTTCCCTTTTACTACTGCTCAAAATGGAAGGAGCTCCATCTGGCAGTGCAAGCATATCATTTTCCTCAGTCTTCTGTATTTTCACCTTGGTTATCACGTTGACATCTCCCTTCTCCAAGCTCTCGGGAGGAGATGCAGAAACACAGTCAGTCCCATGCTTCCTTTTCTTCGCACCGCTCCTGGAGTACCCTCTTTTCTGTTAGAGAGTTCCAAAGTCAGCTTAGTTGAAGAAATCAAATAAGCCTGACAGAAGATGATAATGCTGCTCCATTTGCACGAAAACCACAGATTATATCTCTACCAAAGCCGTCATTTGTTTAGAATTCGTGGTGAAATATAAATAAAATGATGGCCAAGCAGAGTATGTCAATCAAACCTCAAGCTGTTTTAACAAGTGGGAAGCTGCTTTCCCTTTGGCATGCTTTTTCTTCTGATCAAACCCTTCCCCAACCAAGAGGACATCATCCAGCTGCAAGGTAAGGGTAGCATGCACCATTTCCCCTTTACTCACACATTCCTCCTTTGTAAAATATCCCAGAGAGCCACAGAATTCTATCAACTCGCGATATGGAGCTAGCTCAAGTTTTTCAGGAGTTACAATTGGAGATAGCAGAGGCTCAAATATTCTCCAAACCTCCTCATAATTGAGCCCAGTATCGACCAAAACTGCCCCAGCAATACTCTCCACTAGGTCTCCAAGAGCCTGTATAGGTATAGCAATAATAATTAAAAAAAAGGTGTGAATGGACAGAATGTAGAAACTTTTGCTTAAAATCAGACCGTTAGAACGAAAATTTTACCTTGGGACCCTTTGTGCTAGCAGTTAAACTTGTTGCTTCTATTGATCCATCAGAAGACTTGAGGTATTCAGTTATTTGACTTAGGAGTAATGTGGAACAGTGACGAAGATGGATATGGAGGTTATGTTTCACACAAGCTTGAGCAAAACTCTCATTGTTGACAGAAGCCGAACGTAGGTCCGTCAACTCGCCAGGATCAAGGTTTTTGTGGTTTTCATAAAGATGCCTTGTGATCAGCAAATCCAAAACTGAGTCACCCAGATATTCAAGTCTCTGCGTATCAAGCAGATCACCATTAGGGTTTTGAGACAAAATGACTAATACACACACAGAAACGAACAACGACGACTACTTAAACAATAAGTGCAAACAATAGAGGTATATAGAATTTCCACTACCTGATAGCAATAGTTCACTCCCTGCTCTTGCATGGATGGATGTGTGATTGCTTCCAGTAACATAAACTTCTCGGTGAATGCATAACCCAACTTTGATTCAAGGCTTTTAACCTCATCATCATTTGGAATATAAGTCCTCAAAGAGGCACTGGCAATGGCTTGAGAAACACATGAAGGATCAAGTTCCACTTCAATACCAATCCAATTCATCACATGAAGTGCAGCCACCAGTCCACCAGCCACATAGTAAGCACCTATAAGAGCTTCAACACTGTCGGAGACAGTTTTGGAGCCCATCCATCTATGACCCATGTCACAAGTGATTCCGACTTTGATGTTAGGATCCACAGTCTGAAATTTGGAATCATCCAGTGGCACTTCTAAAGTATTAATGCCACAATTGCAAGGTACTGGGCGTATGGATTTTTGTCCTGGAGCAACCCAACGACGCGGGTCAAAAGGACCATCTCGTATATATTCCTGCCAAACCAAGTGTTGCAAGTGACCTGTGTTAATGTACTAGAGACTCCCACAATTGAATGGCAAGAGCTCCACGTGCATATTTTTCGAAAGCTAAGAATATGCTTGGAGCAGGTTAAGCTCGTATAACATCACCATCAATAGATATGAACAACATGATGGTAACATTACCTGTATTCTGCAATCAGTTCCATGTTTCCGTAGTGTTGAATTGCAGACCTCATAAGAGCGAAGAGAAGATAATTGACCTTCATGTCGACCAGGGTGTTTTAAAAAGAAGTGACAGCCCACGGTATACTTCAAAACGGAATCCCCTAGCAACTCCAATCGCTCTAAAGAGAAATTCTCACAACATCTTCTTGTTGATATTGCTTCTAGAATCTAAGTAATAACAATCAAAAGAAAAGAAGAATAAAATAGTTATCAGCCACAAGGATTGTTTTAGCACTTGAAATTATCCTGAGTTGACTGAATCAACCATGTGAATTTTGATATCACAAACCAGTGAGCTGGAGATGTGGAAGTTCGCCACAGAGCAACCAATGTCTTGTCTAAGTTGACTTGCTAACATCAGTGACTCGAGACGGTGCATGATAGATGGAAGCAAGTACATTGCTTTTAAAACAGAGACCGGAATATTAATCCTTATTAAAACCTCAGGAGGCAGATGAGCATACTGGCGCTGTTTGCCCACAATGCTGCTGCGTTTCTTTGCACCTACTCATTAAAAAAAAATCATATAATACACAGCCAAATAGTGGCACTGAACTGCTAAGTCCATCTTGATAACGTTGTTGGGTCCATGCATGAATCCATTTAGTAAAGATGAAATTCAAATTCTTATAATGGCTTTAATTGACAACGAATTTGGTTCTCTTTCCCACTGAAATCTTCTTATGATTTTTTACATCTTTTTAAATGAATGAAACAACATGCTAGTAGTTGCAACTACGGGATACATATGGGGATTTATCTACTATGACGAGGCTTGAAGATTCAGCTCAACATACCTTCATCATTGAAGTCCACAAGAAGGTTATGTGGATTGTGATTTTGCTTTAAACGCAACATAGGCTGTCTCGGATGCTTGAGCACGATCCCATATCTGCGAAGCTAAGGTGAATAAACTACATGTTGCAATGCCCAAAATAAAATAAAAAAGGGAGAAAAAAAAAAGAATGAAGAAGATACAATGAGACAAACACACTTTTAAGAACCAAGCACACTTACTTCTTAGTGTAGTATTCAGCAAATGTAGAGTACTTTGCTGGAGCATCATCAGAATTTCCATCAAAAGGACTCTCTCCAGACATGTCACTAACGGCTTCAACAATTGAATATATTCTCCCTGTATGAATTGCTAATACAACCATTTCATTCACATCATTGATATTGGCTGAACCATTAGCAAAATTAATCATAAGGGAGTCATTGGGTTCTTGAACAGATGACCCAGATGTATGAGCTGATTGGTCTATTCTATCACCCTCGCAAGCAAACACAGAGATGTTCTTCATAAATGCAACAGCAGAAGCGGAATCGCATATCCCTGTCCAATTTATCGACCAAGAGTCTGCACTTGAGGTACACGAGGTTTCAAGCGGCAGAAGGAGATACATATATGACTGATTCCAAAGTGTTGTGTCTTCTGAAAGTAAAAACTTCCGTGCAGCCTTGGATCCAGTGAACAACCTTCCAAACAAACCATTGAAAAAAAGTTCTTGAAAACACTTGGCGTTTATCACCTGATGAGATAAGGAGATCTGTTTCATCAGTTGGGCCAAAAGATTACAGAATTAGAATACTAAAGACGCACACACATCTGTAGAATACAGTACCTGTTCACTGTCCAAATGCAGCTCCCCGCATGAAGAAATAGAAGCATTAACCTTCTTTCCAACTAAATAAAGCTCGAGCTCAATGTTTCCTACATCCTCATGAAGCTTTGCTTCAATCAGAAGAACAAAACTGGAATAAATGTGGCTTGGAACATTACAGGAGAAGTCAAACTTGTAGGCATGGAACGTAACTCCATCAAGTTTGTCTCCCCAACTGCCTGATAATGCACGGATGCGAACCGACCCGTGCAACTCCTTCCTCTTCGTAGTCCCTTCATGAGAGGGGGACAAAACATTAAGAATGCGATTACATGATTAAAGATAACACTAAAAACCATTTGTCTATAAGACTTACAAATATTGTGAAATGTAAACTACAGGGGATTTCCCAGGAGCATTGCCTTCAGAATTCAGTTAATCAGTCGTGTTGCATTTCACTTAACTGTGTCCAACTAAATGTTCATTGAATATATTGTGATTCACAAGCTCCAAGAATCTCAACAATCAAAAGACATTCATAAAGCTTAGCATTCTTAAGAAAGGTATCAAATTGTTCAAATATACATGCAAACCAGCTTTCCCTTCATGATTTTCCTATCCAAGACCACCTACTACAGTCTGTGCACTAATTAGCATATAAAGACTCCTTGTTGACATTAAAGGCATGATTGTGAGAGCTTTTGGGATTGGATAGAGCACATAGGCTTTTCATATTGCAAGTCAACACTAAGAACACAGTCATACCTGCGCCTGCAGATGCTTCTTTGCTTTTCAACATGAGATCTTTTCCTGAAGGCTCATCAGACACTGGTTGAAGATGCTCGTCTAAAGCACCCATCTGATGCAGCTTCTTGCAAGCTTCCAAGCAAGCGAGCTGCTTTGCTAATTGTTGATTCCTACATACAGGACCAGCTAGGGTATGGAAAATGGCACTAGGAGGTAACTTTATGTTACACTGGTAAGCCTTATCAAGAAGCTTAAATTCAAAAGCTGGCCTTGGCGTGTAGTACCTGAGGTAACACACTAGCTGAATAAGACTGACATCCAAACTAACACTAATATATGCTGCAGAAAGTATCACCGGGCAGGGGGAAGGTACAAATACCTATCACCAGGAAGCTTTTCACAGTACTTATACAAGAGGCTAATACTTGAGTCAGCCGTAACTGATGCCCCAGTTCTATCAACAATATAAATCTCTAATTCGTCCAGAAGACAAGCTTTTGGAGTCCACATTTCAGGGTCTCTGTTACTGGCAGTATCTCTCATGGACCAGTCACTTCTGATGACATCAAATAGTTGATCCCTCTGTTTCTCATTTCCCCTGGGGATCATATTGTATCAGTTTCTTTTAGTATAAAAAATGAGGAATTCTAGAGACAATAAAGAAAACTTGCATTCTTGAGTAGCACATAAACATTAACGACACAAATGTTAAGTGTTTCAGCTAAGGAGACTTTAACCTCTCAAGCATAGTGACAAACACGGAATTATGTTGACGAGCTCTTCCCCGAGATTGAACATAACTGCGGACCGTCTTAGGAAGGTCAAACCGTATGACACAGGAGCAGTTTGGCACATGAATACCCTCCTCCACCACATCAGTGGCAAATAATAGATTGACCTTCGGAAACAAGTGGACTTTCAGCAATTAAAACATAAGTCACATTGTAGGAGGAACACAAAATATCAAATACCTTGCCCGAGCGAAATGATTCTAAGACTTCTCTCTGCAGTTTAGGCGCCAGCGCATCAACGGATGTGTTGGTTCCAGTTAGATAAGAAACTGCAAAGTGCTCCAAAACTGATATTTTCTTCACAAATCTCTGAATTACTTTAGCTGTTATTATTCTCTCAACAAAAATGAGGCACAATACCTCTGTAGCTTTCCTGAAAGGAAGCAACATACCAAATCAATCTTATTTCTGAGATATTTTAAAAAGAAGTGGAGAAGAGAAATGCTCTGATTACCCAAAAGATAGGAAAAGTTGAAGAAGTTCATATAGTTTTGGAGACATGTAACCTGAATCCACTGCCTTCAAATAGTCAAGCGCAGGATCCAACACATAATCATCACCTGAGTAAAGGAAATATTATGGCTATAAGCATCAGATAACAAGGAAACAACAAGAACCAGACCATGCTTGTATTATTTCTATAGTATTGGACCAAAGTTCAAAGCAAGAGACGCAACACATACACCCATCAGAGCAGACCAAAGTTCTATCAATTGACAGTGTTTACTCTACCAAAAATAATAGACAATGTTTACCAGTGCTCACAGGTATATGCATTTTATTTTTACAAACGACTAGGTACGCACTGAACAAACCAAACAAATGGTCTATGGTACTCCCAGAAAAACAAAATTCTGTTAATAAAATCCATCTCACAAAACAAGATTTAACCTCCCTAGGAATGCTTTAGTAGGAGACTGGGTGGTACTAGTTGATATTTCCACTTGGGAAGTTTTTTTTTATAAATTACGAAGCATTTAATTTGGCGGTATTCTAACAAAAAAGAAAGAGAAAATAGCAATCAGCAGTCGGTTCATGGCTAATAGAAAGTGCAGAGGGTTAAAATGGTGCAGAAAAGGCGAGATATATATAGCCATGAAGAAATTAACTAAACTCGGTCTGAATAAACTAATTACATGAAGGAGAGAGACAATATTTAAATCCATTTTAAGGGGATTTATCACTGGCTAATAAGCTGCAACCAGAAGGGGGAACGAAAAGGAAAGACAAACGTTTCAACTTAATGTCAAAGATCAGATACCCAGTGGCAAAGAGTTTCTTATCATGGATGCCACTTCCTCAAGGAAGTATTTGCGCTGCAGAGAAATTTCTCTATACATTTCACATTCCTCGTAGGACTTAGGAGATTTCTGGAGACAAACTTCGACAGCCTACAATAAGGTGATGCAAGTTAGGAGCTTTGAGAAATATGAGAGGATATGCTTACGGAATAAGCATTAAAAAAATGGCAGAAAACCTACCTCCAACTTTTTAAAAATTACATATTGGTCTAATGTTTAGATGTAACTTGGATCCATGATTCAATCCACCAATCCATGAATCTACAAATCCAATCGACCAATCCATAGATCCAATTTATTTGTCACCTCCAATGAATATCTATAATAACCCTCAAATGTATATAAGATCATACCAAAGGCATTCACAAGAGAAAAATAAGTAGGGTCGTTTGGCTTCTCATTTTGTTAAATTGATGTATTGTGGTCAACAAATGTATTGATGAATTTAGTGTATTGTAGATGACAATGTTTGGTATTGGTGATTGTGTTTTCAATAATTAAAAATGAAAGTCACTTTCAATGAAAATTAACACTAGTACCCCTTCTTTTCAATGAAGAAATTACTTGTTAAAAGGAAAAAGTTAAGAAAGAGAGACAAAAGTAGAGATTGTACAATCATTCCTTTTGCATGATTGTTTGTCACATCAAACAAATAATACATGTATTATGCGTGCGTAAAAAGATGTATTCTAGGGAATGCAAGCAATGTACCGATCGCACTAAAACAATCATAGAATTCAAACGGCCCCTAAGAGACTGCACCAATAATTTCAAGTCGGTGATTTAGCCAAAACTGAATGCAATATGTAATTAACAGCCATATGTGGGTTAAAAACTGCCTTGTGTTATTTCACCTTAACAGCCATCACTAAGAATGTTACTCCTAATATCAGAAATCTAGAAATTCGTGCACAATTTCCATACGATAGTTGACCATATTCATGTAATTCCTAAAAGTTCAAAAGCGAAGTTGCAACCCATCAATTCATGCTATAAGATTGAAGTTAGCAGATACGACTACCAAACTTCTTACATATTAAGAAAATCTCTAGGATGATCCCTCTATTTGCATGTCCATATGCAATCATACCTCATAAGCACATTTAAGGCCAAGATCGACAAGGCAGCTCACAATCTTTGAATGGTCACTAGACAATCGCTTTCTCAGTTCCTTGGCCCTATCCTCCATATCTTTGTAACCAGTATCTAATGACCCTTGCAAATCCATGATGGCAGTATCAAACTGTTTAGACAAACAAAAGTACTATGTAACAGACCAGATAAACAATCCAACAACACATAAGTGGAAGCACTTATCCGGTGCATGACCAGCAGGTTTACATGACACTCAGCTTAAAGAATACCTTAGACCAAGATGCTCCAATCCTAGCTTTAAGATCCGAAGCATTAAACCTAGGTTTATCGTAGAATTTACAGGTTTCCTTTGCAGAGGGGACGTACTCTTCCATTTCTGCTCTATTTTTTATACTGTAGATCTGCAAAGATATTCGTGTAGTATGAGTTGAATCAGCAATGAAACATAACAAGATGATAAAGTTCTAAATCCTAAAGTACCTGAGAATCCAATATTCTCTCAAGTTCTGACATCTGATCTTCACAATCAAGCGGAGAAGACACACCTAGACGACATGGATACAAAATGCACTTTAATTGTTTTCTGACCTCTCCACAAAGAAAGCCAAGGCAAGATATGATTTTTGAGGGCAAAGTCAAAACAACAATGAGCAAGTTCAACGGCATTGAACATGAGATTTCCATGGCCAGGATTTTCATAAGTTGAAAAGTTTTGTTTTTCTCAACACGGTTCACAATATTAGAGAATTAGTGAAGCTGCCTGTCTTCCGCATAATCCCTTGATGGAATTGACCCCATAAGAACAGATTTCATTCCTCTTCACAGATACATACCCTTTTTTGCAACAGGTGAGGCTGTCATACCAAACACCTTTGGCTTAGCATTGCTGTTCATGTAGAACTCCTTGAAATGACAACAAGAACAACAACCATCAGCTTCTCCTCATATAACAATAGTTGCAAGCTGCAACATATAAAAACAAAGAAAATGGTCCCAAAAAGACCAAGTGAAGAACCAGGAGACCAACCTTCATTATCTTTGAATATGGATGATTTCCTGTAGCACGATGACATTCATCGATTATCATTAAGGCTATCAGTTCCATATTCAAGAATGCCTTTCTTAATGCATCCAAGAGGATTTGTGGTGTCATCACCAATACCTAGCAAGCCAAACCCAGAGTCTGTCAGGATTTACAGCAACCACAATACCAAAGAACACGATCTAACAGAACTGAAGATTGTTGACAATCAATTGACTGCAGAAAATAACATTAAAGGGTCAAACAAATCAACACAAGACAGAAAACCATGTCAACAATACACTATCCAAACAATAATCTAAAAGTACAATGGACCAAATTTTAAACACGGAGAATAACATGTGAGGCCAATTCAATGGTCATAACGTGCTACCATTTCAAATTTTACAATAACGTGACAACCAAATTAGCCATGCAGCTTTACAAAGAGAGAAGCAAATGCCAGTATCAGGGTCCTAAAAGGAAAACTAATAGAAAAGAGGGAAATGCATATATGGCGGTTCGAAAAGGGGAAAAAACATACATCACGTTCATCAATTTCCTTCTGCCACTGAGTTAAGTTCCACTCATCCACCCCCTTGGCGCCATAGTAAACTTCCACTTCAAAGCCGGTCTGATCTTTGATCACCTCACATTGCTGCAATGACCCAAAAATACTTAAAAGAGTGAGTGAGTGAGTTAATTGGCTTAGACCAATGAACAGTATCAATTGAGGGGCCAAAAGAAGAAAAGAGGAGAAGATGCCTGGTTTGCAAGGTGGACTGTAGGTGCCAAGAACACAATCAATTTCCTATGGCCAGAGGACTTGATAGACTGACCAATGTGCCTTATTAACATCACTGCTATCATAGTCTTCCCCGCACCCGTATCCAGCACAGCTATTGTGTTCCGCCGCTTAGCCACCTCATAAACATCGAATTGGTAACTTTTTTTTGGCGGCAAAACACAACACCCCCAGCCAGGTTAATAGAATGAGAGAAGCTCAAACAGCCAGATATAAGCGAAAAGGAGAAATTAATCGGAGGTAAGAAAGGGGGAAACCTTCTGGGTGTAAGGAATCGAACCGGCAGTTGGCTGGCCGGGTTTTCGCCGGCGGAGGTATTTGGAACGTCCGGCGCGGAACCTACGTGGGGGTTTGGAGTTGGAGTGATCATGTCACCGAAGCTTCTCTTCAGTGGGTTGATCCGGTCGGCCATTGGATGGGGAAACCAGAAGAAGAGGCGCTCAAAGAGTAACTAACTTGAGGGGAAAAGAGAGGGGCAGCAGCCTAAGCCGGAGATGAGGGGGTCGCCATTGGCGTGAAGAAGAAAGAAGGACACGCCAAACTAGCTGTTCAACTGAATTGAATGCCTCAACAACAACCTCTCTCTCTCTCTCTCTCTATCCAATATGACTATGAGGCAGCGCAGTGAGCTGAAAAGGTAAGGCAACGGACTGCGCGTATCAGAAAGACAAGAGCTTCTTTTTCTCCTACAGAATCCTTTCGCTCTTTCTTCGTTCGCCACAAAATCTGGTCGAGCCGTACAAAGAAATCATCGAACAGAATTCTTACTTAACAAAGGTATCGTTTTGCTCGATGGATTTGGGTCATGAATTTGGGATTCAAATCCCAAGCAGGATGGATTTTAGCCAAGTTCATTATTTGTTGTTAGGTGTTAAATTCGTGGGGTCCACGGATTTGTTCCCTTTTTTGGATCCAAATCCATGGACCTCACAGACTTGTAAATCACATATATTGTAGTGGAATTTGTAAATCCTTGATGGCTAGTTATATTTATAGCAAATCCATCATAATTATATCATCAAATCTATCATGCAAACAATAGACTCTTCAAATCCATGATGGTACAAATCCCTCATAAATTCAAAGGTTTTTTTGAGCCAAAACCCTCATTTTTCAAATCCAACAAGCAAACGACCCCAAATAGTTTGGTGGTCGATGGCAATCTTATTTGAACGCAATATATTCATTATGTGTATTTTAGTTTTTTTTAATGAATTGCATCCTAATTTTTTCAAATTATTTAAAGTGCTTAATTTTGCATGACATTAACGTGATTTTCCAACTTATTTTTTCAAATCATAATAATATTTTATCAATGACCGAACATTGTATTCTTAATGACTATAATACTTTTTTCATTGGGGGAGGCTAACGCAGAGAACACAGAAGGAATTACAGGAGGAGGAGCAGTAATGCGTCTCTCCAGAGTAGTTCCTAGCATGTCATCCCGAAGAATGGAAGATAATCTGACGGAGGGCTCTACAAGCTCATACATACCGTAGGAATAAACGAGACTGTGCTTCGAGAGCCAGTCCGCTACTCTATTCTCTTCCCTGTATGTGAGTAATGCGAACCAACCAATCACGACTAATCTTCCTGCGAATAGCCGATAATAGAGTAGCATAAGGATGAATCGGATCATGCCTATTCTCGATCAATTGAATGGCCAATTGCGAGTCTGATTCAATCTTTAGCGTCATGTTCCTTTCATTCCATGCCAAATCAAGGCCATAGTTGATGGCCCACAACTCCGCGAGCGTCGCCGTAGTTGTCCAGATGGTAGCCACGAAGCCTTTGATCCATCTCCTAGTATGATCGCGCAGAACCCCCCTTCTCAGCCGGACCCGGGTTCCCATTCGACGCGCCATCCACATTAAGGGTAGTCCGTCCTTCCGCTGGCGGGTTCCAACCAATGTTAGCCACAGTTCTGGTCGCCGACCGATCTCTCCCATCTGGAAGCATGGCTGGAGATAGCCACGAGTCATTCCAGATTTTAGTCTTCATTAAAATAGAATGCTCTAAAGTTGGGGGAATCATCGCCGCACTCAGGCCTTTAAAGGAGGTCGTGGTGCGGTTTTTCCACAGTAGCCAGGCGGCAGTGCTGAAGAAGGTCGGCCACCCAATACTCGTCCATGTAGTAGCTTTGCTCTTGAGGTTATTATGCAGCCAATCCATAAGTATTGGAAATGAAGAACTCAGCTGCTTCTCGGGGGGAACCTTCCTAGACTAGAAGAACAGAGTTGGCGGGCAGTCACGCAGGATATGAAGCACCGATTCCGGTTGTCCTGGACATCTCGCACAATAGGGGGACTCTGCCACTCTCCTGTGGTGCCGAACAGCATTAGTAGGAAGCTTGTTTCATAACGCCTGCCACATGAAACACATCACTCGCTCCGGAGTTGGAAGACGCTAGATGATCTTCCAAGTCCTTTCCTCTTCGTCTGTCTGGTGGTGGGAAAGTAGGTTATAGGCAGACTTGGTGGAAAATTTCCCATCCGTAGGACTAGACCAATTGATCATCATCCTGGATACCTTGTCCACCGCTATGCTGAGGATCTTTTGGGTAATCTCGTTCGGGAGGAGGTTGTCAAAGAGCTCCGTTCTCCCAGTGGCATCGTCTCGAACCATCTCTGCCACTTTAGCACTCACAATCTTCGTCGGAATGTTGTTGGTAGCAAAGTCGCAAAGAGGAGCCTGCAAAACTCAACAATCCAACCAAAAATTAGTGGTTCTACCGCTCTTGATGTTCCATGCACATCATTTCTTTAAAAGACTAACCGTTTTGGAGATACTAGCCCAGGTGAAGGAACTTCCCTAAATTGGCCGGATCACGTCTAACCCTTGCCTTTGACGACCTTATTTAGCACGCATTATCTGAATACAAAGGCTCTCCTTTTCATAAATTAGTCTCCAACCACTTTTGGCAAGCATTGCTAGGTTTGCTTGTCTAGTGGGTCGGATACCCACTCCTCCTTGTCGCTTAAGAAGCGTCATCTTATCCCATGCGACTAAATGCATCTTGGTCTTCTCCTCTTCATCTCCCCAGATAAAATCCATGTTGAGCTTGTCAATCGCTTTGCACACGGAGCTGGGGATGAGTTTCGTCTGCATATTGTACACAGGCAGGAAAGCTGAAACCGAATTGACCAGAGTGAGGCGGGCCGCGAAGGGCAGGCGCTTCGCCTTCCAATGTGTCATTCTCTTCTGAATATGCAAGAGAAGGTGTTGATATCTCCCTTTGATAACTCACTCTTGAATAGTTTGGATCCCGAGGTACCTCCCTAGTGTAGCCTTCAAAGGAATTCACGCCCATTGACTCGACCTCGAGGCTTTCCTGCAAGTGATGTTGGGTGACACATACATTATTGAATTTTGGAAATTAACCAGTTGTCCATAGCTGTATCAGAAGTCTTCTAAGCAATCTCGAACAATGTCAATTTGACGAGCTTCTGGTTCAGAAAACAACAAAAGATCATCTGTAAAGAAATGATGAGTTAGTGGTGGGTCGTTCACAGACAGTCTCACCGGTTTCCATTGTCCACTGCTTCACCAATCCTGTGAGACAGACACTCAATACAAAGAACAAAGAGATAAGGGAAAAGAGGATCTCCCTGATGAACTCCACGCGAGGGCGATATGGGTTGGGAGAGCTCTCCGTTCCAGAGGACACGCATCCTGATTTGCTCCACACAGTACATGATTCAGGTGATCCAAGAGCTATGGAGGCCGACTTCTTTGAGAGTATCCCAGAGGAAGTCTCATCTCAATCTGTCATAGGCTTTCTCTAGGTCAATTTCGAAGACCAGACCCCTTTCCTCCCTTTCTACTTTCTGAGAGAGTGCAGAACTTCCTAAACCACCATGATGTTATCCGCAGTCTGTCTTCCAGGGATGAAACTGCTCTGCTGAGGCGAACCTAAACTCCTCATGACGGGTTTCAATCTGCCCGTCATCGCCTTCGTAATCGCTTTCAGACTAACATTATTAAGGGAGATAGGTCGGAGCTGAGTCACTTTTTCTTGAACCTCCACTTTAGGAACAAGCACCATAGTAGAGTCCGTAACCGCCTCTAGAATCTCCCCCGTCGAGAAGAATGCAAGTGCCACGTCTCTAAGCGCCTTCCTACCACTTGCCAAATCTGCTGGTAGAAGACGATATGGTATCCATTGGGACCGGGAGCCTGAAAAAGCTTAATATCGACGATAGCCCTATGGATGTCCAAAATGGAGAAGGGGCAAAGACGGTTTAGCATCTCTTCCTGTCTCAACCACGGAAAGGCGCCCTTAGGTAATCAGTCTTCATACATCAAATCATCTTGCAAATAGAGGTTAGTAACAAAATAAAAAATTATCAGAGCGATAGAATGAGAGTATGTCACCCAGAAGCCATTATCGTCTTGCAGAGTTTCGATCTTCTTCCACCATCTTCGCGGGTTGGTTTGATGGTGAAAATAGGCTGTGTTTCGCTCTCCATACTTTACCCAATTATCTCTAGCGCGTTAAAACCAGAAAATTTCTTCTTGTTCTAGGACTTTGTCTAACTCAGCTTCAAGCTTTGAGTGGAGCTTTGTCAGTCCGGGAGAGAATTGGAGCGCGAGCTTGGCTTTAATCCCCCTTTATGCGGGCCAACAAACGAGCCTTCTTCTTGTGGATGTTACCGAAGATGTTTGAATTCCATTCCTGGATGTGACTTGCAAGATTAAGAAGAGCAGTGGGAAGGGAAGCCTGCTCGTTCTAGGAGGTGGTGACGAGATCCTGGAAGCTGTTATGCGTAAACCAAGTTGCCTCTAGTCTGAATGGGCAGTTGTTGGTGGGAGATCCACTCTGAGAATTGACAATAGTCATGATAGGGTTGTGATCAGATTGCGCTCGAGAAAGATGTAGAACTGAGGTATTGAGAAAGGCTGCGTTCTACGCCAGGTTGCACAAGCTCCTATCAAGCCAGCTCGCCTTGTATGTGTGCGGTTGATCGCTCTGGTCCACGTGAATTTAGGACCCTAAAATCCTAGGTCCATGAGCTCAGCCAAATTGATTCTTTCATTGAACAGGCGACACCTCCTGCTGGTATTGCTACCTGGCAGTCCTGCCTTCTCCTCTAGGTCTCGGATCGCATTGAAGCCGCCTATTAAAAGCCACAGAATGTCGAGTTGCCTGCTTTCCGAGATGAGAGTATCCCAGAGTGGCTGTTGCTCGCTATACTTGGGATAAGCATAAATAGCAGAGAGCACACAGGGTCTCCGATTCACATGCTGAACTCGGACGGTGATGTATTGACTACACGCCGACACCAAAACTATAGAGAAAGAGTTGTCATTCTAGAAAATCCAAATACCCCCCTTTCTACCAGCCGCCTCCACTCGAATAGACTTGAGGAATCCCTGCTTGTTGCAGAACGAGTTAACCATTGTGCCACTAATTTGGGGTTCAAGGAGGATCACAATGTCAGGACGGTGAGTCTGTGAATTATCAGTTTCAGTGCCCGGAGAAAGGCTCTGCCACCTGCACCGCCAACATTCCAAGAGAGGATTTTACTATTAGACAATTGATAGATTAATATAATCAATATAAACATAGAAGAGGGAAGAAGTAAGGGAGAGCAGGCGATCCAGGGATTAGATTGTGCGCTCTGTCTCCCGAACATTGAGATGGTGGACTCCCTTATGCGGGATTGAACAGGGG